ATTGGCATTAAGAAGGAAATTTTATTTCAAAACCATCAAATTATAGTTCATATTGCTCTTGTTAGTGCAAGAGATTGTATGTCAAAATTAATTTTTTTTACAGAGCAGCATAAAAACTGATAATTTCTATATGATTTGTTTGTATAATTTCATATTTTATTTCCCTCTTCTATTTCCCATTGTAGCAGTTTCAGAATATAATATGCCACCTTTATAACGAATAGAATAAACATGAAACATTTTTACATACGATATTTTGCATTGACAGTAACGATATATATATTACAGATAATAAAATACAAGAAAAATCAGAAACATAATCAATTGAAAAAAAAAAATCAAATAAATCACAATTATTTTGTAATTATGCGGAACATGGAATTATCAGCTTGAGTTTTGAAACTATTTAGACGTCAATGATTGGCACAGTTATAATGAAATCAATTAAAAAAAGCTTGAATACGTCCCTGTAAAAGAGTTCTAACATTTTTAACTTACGAATTCTAACATTTTGAACTTTTCAAGGATTAAAAAAATAACATAAATCGTACCAAATGAACATATTACCTGTTATTGTTAATCTCCTAATTTGTATGAAACAATAGTAAGGAGTTTTAAGATCGACTTGCGGAATAAAGTCCCAGTGAATTAGGAACAATTTTTTTTAAAGCTGCAAAGTCGAGTAGTTAACGTCAGGCTACAATTAGAAGAATTCCAATCTCACAGCCTTATGTCTCCAAAATGCAAGCAACAAATAAAATACCCGTCAACGTTTAGTAATTCAGGTATTATCAAGACAGATGAGTGTTGCCTTATTCTCTTTTCAGCATGAGAGTAGGTGTCATGGAGTGGTTCGGTCTTCGATTGGCTTTTATCTTCTGATGATGCCTGAATTCGCAAAACGTTGACGGTTTTTTTTTTTTTTTTTTTATGCTTTGCCTTTATTTTGGGAGACATAAGGCTGATTGGTTGGAAATTTTAAAATAACCTAATATTGAATTTCTGTCTGTTGGTTAAATTTCGTCAGTTATATGGTAATTATTATAAATTCTGCCGCCCGAGAAAAGTGTCCCTTTGCCTCTCCCTAGCTCCAGAACTAGACACACCGATGACTTGAAGCGGAAATCATTAAAGCAGGTACTGCTAGATGGATATCCTCCCTTCAGCGAGACCCCGCCTCACACCATCACCAGTGTCTGATTTACATTAACCTCTCATCGAAGTGCAGAGTTCCTCCCCTCGCCTCAGCCATTCTCTCATTATCTAGTCCACCGGAATTGATACTCTCATCCCTACGTCAATCACATTTCCCGGATGCAGCTTTCGCATCTCCATTATGCATCTGACTGTCTTGCGGCCAATCCTATCCCCCAATATCAGAACTAGAGCTCACCACTCTGCTGTAATATTTAGGTGTTCGCGAAATATATTACAGCTGCATCGAAAGCAGAATTTATTAATACACATATGATCATACATTAAAATTATTATTTACATCTTTGAAATCATTAGAGACTGCTTTCCATCTAGAAATGTTTTAAATTTACCAATCGAATCAAAATTATGTAATAAACTGAAGTAGATTGAGAAAGGGAAACAGACAAGATATGTTAGATATGGCAAGATTTTGGAGGCGGGGGGGGGGCCGAACGGGCTAACGTGTGTGCACAGCACCGCTTGGAAACCTGATAGCCAAAGTTAGAGACAGTAAAATTACAAGTTAGCGTCCCGGTGCCTAGGGTTTTTTTTTTAAATTCTCCGCCCTCACCTCCTGGCCCGCGAAAACCCCCGTATAACCTAAAAAGTCATGTAGGGAAGAAAAATAAAATAAAACAGATATGTCAGACCATAGCAGAGGATACATAAGCAAGTTTTAGCGTATGCAAATCTTCAGCGTATGTAAATCTTTAGAACGTCAATCTTAATCCATTTTAATATTTTAGAAAAACCCTACCATATTGTATCTCCACAAAAGTTTATTTTCTTTATATTCGCATAAATTAATTATTAATGATATTCATATTAAGGAATAATAAACTGAATAAGATCAGTGTAAAATGCTCTAGGATCGAAATTCCGAAACCAGCTGGATAATAATTAATTTATTTTATAATATTTGCCTCAGGGATCTAGAGAACTTCCTGATTGTACTACCATAATTTATGAAGCAGTAAAGTTAATTAGGTATCTTTAATCGCGACGAAACTTTAATCGGGGCGAGCGGTAATCTTTCCGGTTGTGCCTGAATGAAGACAGCAAGACCTCGTTCGATAACCGTTGGTCAAGAAACAGTATTTCCTCACAGAGTGCAGGGAACAAGACCAGATTCTTCCTCTTTCCAAAATTCAATTTAGTCCACATTAACATACCAAAATTATACAAACTAAACCGAAATTATGGTTAGCCAAAATAAGGTTTTTTGAAAACATAAATACATTTAGTTCTGAGATCAAGTATTTGTTGACTGCATCTATACTTACACCTTTCTGGCCATTTGGAAAATTGTATGAACTCACTTCGGTCGAGAAGCTTAACCGTGAAAACGGCTTCGTTAGGTCGAGAAACCAAATTGATTCAACGTTCTGGAAAATTTTGGCCAAATCATAGCGGCTTTCTTTGAGTTCAGAAACATAATCTTAATCGGAGCGATATTAGCGAAGGTAAGCAAACAATAGTTATATTAGGTAGTCTCAAGTGAAAAATCGTTTAAGTAAGTGGACACATTAAGGCCGCTATCAGGATTTTTTCCAAACAAGCTTAATTTTGCTGGTCCTTCATTTACTACCCCATCTCTCTCCAATAAACTCGTCAATTTTATAACATTAATTTAGGTAGTATGTTTTGAAATAAAAAGAATCATCTCTTAACATTATGCTCATTTTATCGACAGAATTAAGGTTAAATCAATCAAAAAGCAGAAACAAATATTTTTTATGAAACCCTAAAAATGAAATTTTCTTTGAAATTTACAAGCCGGGGTAATTGTCCCCTTGCACCCCACAAACCTTTGTGACAGAACCATGTCAGATATTTATTATTATACTTTCATATTTAACTGTGCAGTGAATCTCTCAATTACAGTATGAGACGGTGATGTAATTCTGAATGAACGTTAATGTAGTTATGAGTCAATTTTTGTATTGGGTTGCCAAATAAGTCACTTTGGTTTTTCAGTGTGAAATAAAACTCAATGTAATATAGACATAAAATTTATTTTAATCTACAATATATTGACCATTATTTAATATGACTTTTTCCCATCTTTCCACTAACTGCATAGTGACATGTTCATAGAATGTTTGGAGTTTATTGTTAAACAACTGATCCAAGTGGTTTATGATGACCTCTTTCTTTTAGAATTTCTTTCCATTCATGGAGTTCTGCAGAGACCGGAATAAGTGGTAGCCACTTGGAACTAGGTCTGGTGAATAGGGAGAGTGGGGCAAAAGGTCCTATCCAAGGCACAATAATTTATTGCTGGTGACCAACAAGGTATGGGCCCTAGCGTTGTATTGGTGGACCACAACACCCTTCCGATAATTCATAACTCTTTAGGATGTTCTCCTAATTCGATGTAACTATATCCGTTGGAAAGCTGAATTATTGCTCTTCAAAGCCGTATGAATGGTTTTTTGATTTAAAGCCTACATAAGAAAAAAATAAACCAAAACTCTTACAGGTTTTTATTTTCTATCTCCATTTGTAGTTTGTTTACGTAGATCCCGTTGATGCCATTTTGTGTAGTTTATGTGGCCCTAAATTCCTGTTCAATTTCTTGTATATAGCTAAAGTCGGATTGATTTTCGAAAAAAACAAATCATGACGGGACCCAAAGATTAAACCCTGAAACATAGCCGAGCTTGTGCAAATGGATTTCTACGCTTGTGTGCGACAAATTTAGGGCCAAGGCAATCTCTCGCATTGATTGGGTGGGATTTTGATCAACAATGGAATTAACATTGCTCGTTTCAATTTCATGTGGGCGGCCAGACCGTTGAGCATCATCGATGTCAAGATTTCCTGAATGAAATTTGCCTAACCAATTTTGAAATGTGCGTCCGGTTAAGGCATTATCCCCATAAACATTGCTAATTTTTCTATGAGCTTATGCAGCACGCTTACCTTTTATAAAATAATACACCAAAATATGGCGATAATGAACGATATTTTCTACTATATTCACAATGCAATAGCTAACACAATACGAAGCTAGTTTCAAGAAGAGTTAACAGATATTGTTGTTGACATATTACAAACAGGATAAACAATCCACCTTAGAGATTAATTAATCAGATATCCAATCCAATCCAAACAATCCACCTTAGAGATTAATTAATCAGATAAGAAGTGTATCATAGTGACATAAAAATAAACAGAAAAACCGAAAGGGCTTATTTGCCAACCCAATATACATATAAAAAAAATATGAGTATTTACAAAAAAAAAGTTCATTTAATTTCTTATCATAAACACAATATTTTTATAAATACATGACACATACAAGAAGAAATAGCATCACACAAAAATTAAAACTGTCTGTCTACTCTGATGAATAAGATCCAGGAAAAATCCAAGAATCCCCAAGAAAATTGAATCGATAGGTGTGATATGACCTATTATGAATAATTGCGAGTCTTAATAATATAAGATGCCTCACCAGTACGATAAGAGTTTTGCCATACGAAACCTTTTCCATGGACCTCCCGGGCGCTTCCTTAGGCATTCACAATCGTAATATAGTCTGAGCATAAAAGTTGACATACATAAAATTAAGTCTGTAGTTGTAGACAAAAAACAGAAGCTTTATGATAAACATGAGGAAAATAAATTACGCTGTCCATAGCATGGAGTAAGGGTTGGCATGTTACAACTGCGAGACAGCTTTGGAGAAATTTGAATTTATATTTTTAAGTAAAAGCATTATAAAATCTTTAAAATACTAACTTACCAACAAAATTAATAAATATTATTTGCCATATTAAATAAGTAAAATGACTTACCCCATTCTGTAGTTCCGTAGTGCCGGATCAGCAAATGAAAAAAAAAAATAGAAGACAATTACTATAAATTAAGCTATAAATAATATAATAAAAAAGAAAAATAAGTAATAATAAGCTAGGAAGTTTACAAATTAATGTGCAGTTAACCGGTGGTTATTTTTCTATGTAGGCAGTTTGTAATGGATGAGTACGTGTCATTTTTCAACTTTCTCTCCAATTAGGATTATTAAGAGAATGAGCGTGGTACTAAGGGACCAATCAATTTAATTGTCTCACCTCCTCCGGGGGCTAAATTGTTCTCGCATTACAGGTATTTATCTATAACCACCAACTACCCCCTCGCCTTACAAATTACACCTGAGGTAAAAAAAATCCCTGGCCATAGGTGAAAAAATGTGGGATGTGGCCCAAAAATGCGGGGACGAAGTAGCCCTTTTGCCATCCGCCAAGCATCCAGATTATCATAATACAGGTTCTTTTGCATGTATAATATATTTGGTCCAGAGCCTCTACCGAAATCAAATGATTATATGTAAAGATAAGGGGACCAATTTTAGTTAACCGTCTCCTCATAACACTGTTTTTCCTACGAGTAGCGGCATATTGATTAGAAACATGTTTTTTATTTCAGATTTTGTTTGTTTTATTTTAAATAGTTAATAGTAGGAAATTAGCTACCTCATTGAAAATACTTCTCCAAGCAATTTAGAAACAAGATTTCCGAAAGAATAGGAAAAACAACAATCAAAAGTAATTTTAATCTCGTTTCGGGAAAAAAAATAGTAGAAATAAGAAGAAAAAAATAGTAAAAATAAAAATATGAGTAGAAAAAGGCCTTTTTAGTCTCGATAATTATAAACTTTTACATTAAATTTACCCAAATGTTTGCCTCTTCAGGCATCTTCATGGATAATCTGATTCTACATATATTTCAAATTGTCATCTGAAAAACAAATACAAAATTCTTTCAAAGGATTTACTAGTAGACATTAGCTATTTATAAAACAATAATAATATTAAAAACAATATTCACCAGTCAACTATATATATACATCAAAACATAAAAACTTATTCGTTTACAGCAGCACTTGCACATCTAATCATAGAACACAACCGAATGAGACCAAACCTTCAAGGAGAGGCGTTGCCAACATTAAAATATTTAAATACTACACGACTAAAATTAAAACCAGAATATATTATTATTTTAATATAAATTATTCGAACATATCAATTACCGAACATTAATTTCATTCTTTTTTTTCCAGATGAAAATTTGAAATATATGTAGAATCAGATTATCCCTGAAGACGCCTGAAGAGGCGAAAATTTGGATAAATTTAAATAAGTATCTAATTATCGAGACTAGAAAGGCCTTTTTCTATTGATACTTATAATAGTCTCTTTCCCAAGATCATATTTTAGAAAGGAAATATGAAAATCCATTTTACCTGTTTGTAACATTTTCCCATATTGTGAAAAAAAGGGTTCAAGAGAAATGGTTTATGACAGTTTGAAGAATTCGTTTACGCAATTAGTTTACAATGGAATCGTATGGAGAAAAATAGTGACAATATATATAGTGGTGGATGTCTACAGGAGAAATACCTAAAATTAACTATTAACGGGTGCCGACCCCAATAATAGATGCCGAAAGATTGGTTACTTTCAGAATATATGATTAACAAAGAATGAATCAATGGAATATTTCCTGTTTTTCGTCATTTAGTATTTGGTCATTTCATCTGACACAGGATCGGAATCTAATGACTGAGGAACATTAAGGAGGAAGACCCCCATCCCCAACAAGATGGAAGTGAGGCATTTGCATTGACCACTATTAAAGCCAGAAGACATGGTCGGCCTAATACCGGAGCGTCATTGATGACAGAGGAATCCAGGATATTAAGATATTGCTGGTTAGGAATAGCATCCAGCTTAATAGCAACCATCTCCGCGGATAAATACCTCTGTACTGGTAGTGAAAAAAATAAACCAGTAACATAACATTGGTCCATAACATTACTTATGTATGTTTTTACCCGTTAACATAACGTATGAGGATTTTTCTTGTTTTATTCCACAGGGAGCTATATAATGTGTCACTCTAAATTTTACCCGGGAATTTACCGATTCTATGTTGTACGCATAGAAAACAAAATGTCTTTTTAGGGAGAGAAGTTAAGTGAGGGAAGGAGAGAGGTTAGATAAATGTTCAATACGGTTATCTAGGCAATTGAGGTATCATTTAATATATATTTTCTGACACTGAATCGATTTAACACAAAACTAAATCATGAATATTGCATGATAATCAAAAATTTTCTTTTAATAATATTCCTCTTCTCTTATTGTTGGTGCTTTAATGAATTCTTAAGAATTAACATCAATTCTAAATATCGGATCAAGCGTTGTGTACATAAAAAATTTGCTCTTCTTACATAAAAACTCAGTAATTCATAAAATATTGATTCTATAAACTTGATTTTGTGATTATTTGGTTTAAAATCATATAATACTAAGATATCCCAATTGCCTAGGCATCACAGTTTACAGGCAACAGTCAAATTTCCCTTTACAAAATATTAAAATTTGTATTTAATTTTTTAAATTCCATTGATAATTTTTGAGAATCATTTTCTGATTGTTTTCCTGCCTTTTTTTGCCGTCAAGTCAAAACTACTGCCTGAGACATGAACGTCGTCTGCAAATTCTGTTATTGTTACATTTTTATACTTACTTTCTACGATTTTCCCATGTGTATAGAAAGGAAGTACTGGAGACAATATCACAAATTCTGACACCTGAGATATACGGTACCAATAAGTTCATTGGAAAGTTTTATATCTTAATACCGATCACTGAATTATTAGTTAATAACGGAATGTAACTGTTCAGGGCACTCAAGTTTGATTTGCCATCGGCAAACAATTTTTTCTATCACGAAATCGAATAATTTCACTCTTATCAAAAGGTTTGAGTAGAAAACTTGTGTATAAACAATAATAAAGTTATCTAAACGGTTACAGATACTTAGGTAGGCAATCTTTTAGTCATATAGATAATAAAAGTAGTTTAATTAAGCAATAATGAATGTAATTTTATACACTTTTTTTTATATAATACTTTTTAGGTTCAATTAGAATGACCTAAAATAAAATAATAAAAACTTAGCTAAAACTTAGTCCGATGAAAAATGTTTCACTTGACTACTAAGCCCAGTCCACATGTCGCGGGATTATGGTCTCTGAGACATGTCTCAGTTTGTCTATGTAGACAGGTCTATAGACCGATCACCGTCTACTAGCCTGTTTCGAGACCAAAAATCGCAGGTCTTAAGTCTCCCTTTTGAAATGGGAGGCATAAAACCTAGTATACACTAGTAGAAAAATGTTGCGCGATTTGTCTGTAGACACCGTTCATTGTCTCGTATAGCGTCCACACTACGATAGGAATTTCTCAGTCTCATTTTCGTAGCTTACCATGGTGGACATAGCATTGTGTGAAATAAGTTCCTGGGCAGTGATAATTACAAGTAAAATGACGCGAAAAAGTAAATGTTGGTGGATGCGCTAAGTTCTCGCAGAAGGAGCTATGTTCGGCAATGCTTTATTAAATAAATCAAGACTGGGAGACACCAAGGTAATCTTCGATTAGTTTTAAAACTTTCTCGTTAGACCACAAGTTTTAAAAGAACTGTAAAACTATGGAAAATAACTGTAAAGAACCAACCTCTCGGTAGCTGGAGGCAGACTGGGACGTTTCTCGCCTCTAAACGACGAGTGAAGCCCACACTGTCAAAATATTACGCAACATGTCTAACGTTGCATAATGTCTCCCATTCCGATCGGAAGAATTTAGCCCTGTTAGTGATTATTTCTACTAGATAAGAAATAGTAAAGTAGCACAATTTCTACTACTGTGTATTAGGCTTTGAGGCATAGAATAGTTCAATAGAGTTATACATGAAAGTCTTATGGGAAATATTAAGTCAAAAATCAATTTATCGTAAAATAATTTTTACTTAATAAAGTTACATTGTTTTTCAAGTGTGCTATATATTTCAAAAAGTCAAAAACAAAAAGGGAAAGTTGGTTCAAGATAAAGATAATCTTAGATTTAAATATTAAATTAGTACAGCCGAAAATGAATAAGTTAATTTAAAATTTGGCTTTTAAACTATTCTGAAAGTGAACTGTCTAAGATTCGTTTCAGAGAAAAATAATAATGATAAAATGTATTACAACTTTATAACAAAAAGTTAGTGATAAAAATTAAAGTAATGAATTAATGATATTAATAAATACCCAAATATAAGTATTGATTGAAGACCAGTAATAAATATTCTCGACGGATAACATGGACCATAAAGCCATAAAGCCAAAACACTCGTTTGGCACATATATGAACTATTAAACTCATTCTTGAGGCACTGAAAACGGTATACATCTAAGGGAAACTAGCGGCAATTTATTTATTAAAAGTAGACTGATATGGTTGCGTGCTGCGGTGGGATCCTGATAGCAGCATTATTGATGATAATATTACAACAAGGCAAGATAAGATTAAAAACAGGATGAATGGCTGTTCGTGGAGAATGCAGGAGAGAGTTTTCGACCACCATTAACACATGTTCAACACATTTCCATCCAACCACCTGTGATACTAAAGCTAAATTAAAAGTATTTTCCTTTCTAATAGATAAATATCTCGTTGAAATTTAGGCTTATTTTATATCAGACCATAAACACATCCATATAAATACTAATGAGGGAATCTATCTAAATACTATAGAGCTCAAAATAGACTATACCTACACCAACAAAAGATGGGACTTGAAAATTATAAATTTAGTTTGAATTGGAGCACCTAGTATATTTAATTAACAATTAAAAATAAAGTGAATATTTACTTTTTAAAATATTTTAGCTGTATAGCCACCATTCTTTCACATTGAGCCTTGGGAGAAGACCGTTAAAAAGATGAAAACTACTTTAAAACATTCGATTAAAAAAAAAAAAATAATAAATAAATAAAGAAGAGCAAGATATAAAATGTTACCACTAAATTTTTTTTTCTTGTGTTATCAAACGTTTTTACAATTTTCAATTCAAAAGAAACACAGAATAAATGTTTCTTATAAGTTGATTTTATGATTAAAAACAGCATTGATTTTGTGATAACAATTTTCTAATTCCTAAACTAATCTTCAATTTACAATTTTTTCTTGTATTTTGCAGAGTAAAAATTGGGAGATTGTTGTGAGTCTTTCTTAGGTTTTCGAATAATTATTACTTCATGGGGGAGAGGGGTCCAGGAATCGGGAAATGTTTGATCTTTTGATTATATTTAAGAAGAGTAACAAAGTGTGGAAAGCAATATTTTAAAATAAATTTACATGGTTTTGATCAGGTGGAGCAAATCAAATTGGCTTGAGCCCCAACAACTCGAAACATTATTGGAGAGGATACAACAGAAGAGTGGAAGAGGCAATGCGTGACAATCCAGAGAGGAACTCCGTAAGGAAGCACTTCTCAACCGTCCGGTGACTTTTAAAAGCAAAGTGAGTCTTCCCAGACTAATGGAATTTCGTGTGTTCCACTACTTGTTTGAGTTCTTCTATGGAATATTACAATATTATATTATAATACAATTAAAATGTGCAAGGTCTCGCAAGCAAACGGGACATTCCGTCAAATGACAACAAATTTCACCATTAGTATTTGGGTAACAGCTAACGAAGGCGTTGGGAAAAACTAAGGATGTATTGGAACAAAACATAACCGAATCGGTTTATTATTCAGAGATGACAGTTAATTTTATGTTACCTTATTTCAGTTTAGGTAGAAGACCATTGATCTAGATTAAAAGGTTTGTCAAGATACTCGTTTGATTTTATGCCATAACCATGATAAAGAGGACGAGTACTATAAATGAAAGAGTCCGTGGGCGCCAAGGGCTTTTAACTGTGCCATTAATCCCCCGCCCTCTCTTCTGGCAAGTGAAAATTCCGTATAGCCGAAAAAGGAGAAGTAAGATAAAAACAGATTGATTTTTGAAACGTTTTTCAAAATTAGTAAGAACTGATGAAAATATTGAATAAATGTGAAATCCTTTCGTTACAGGAAAGGAAAACAAATAGTAAAACATTAGAAAAAAATGGCAATGAAAATTATAGATGAATTTCTTACTAACAATCACAATGAAAATAAACTGATATATTCAACAACAATATTACATTTCTAAATAATCCAGTAGGAATGGTACCAGTGGGAAAAGTTCATTATACAAGAAAATGTTTAAGCGAATTAAGCAATGACAAAAAATAAATAAAAACATAAAATAATGGAGTGCAATAACGGATTTTCATAATTTTATTTTGTAATAAGTCGGTATTGGAACGCAGAGAAAATATACAAAAGCGCTTGGCACTGCTTAGAGCTAAGCACGTAAACGCTTGTCGACGTAAGAAAGCATGCCAATATAGTACGATAAATTGAGCGATTCAGTTGAAAGAATAACTCTAATTTCAACATTGTAATAACCTACTCTGGAATCAACTTACTCACTATACATATATTATAAATTATAAAATTATAAACAGATATTTTCCAACTAGAAAATATCACTAAAATGACATTACTCAAAAAATTTGAAATTGGAGTTCATTCAGTGGATGTTAATTCCAAGAGAAAGAATAAGCGGCAAATCTAACCTGCAAACAACACAAACAAGCCAAGAAACCCGAATCAATACAAAATATTATTTTAAGATGATAATTATGGCATAAAATATCATAAAAACTCAATAACGTTATATTGATAAAAATTAAGTATTTTATGATTATGTAAAATATTCTTTTAAATAAATTAATCCCGGCTTCAATTAAAATGAGTATATTATTTTATACAGTCGTATTTTTAATTTAAAATTTCTTATAAAAAACTGCCTCTCTTATCATGTCTGATTTTATACTTTGATCATAAACTAAAATAGTGAGAAATCCCTGTTCTAGACAAGTGGCAATAAATAAAACTAAAAATGGGAAAAGATATTTTATAAAATAAAAAAGATAATAAAATCAAACTCAGAACTTCTGTAATTTTGCAATACATCTCTATAAAACCAACGATTCTGGAAAATAAACGACACAATTGAGAATAGTTAAAAGAACTTACCGTTCTTGCATTGACGTCGGCGTTGTGTGTTCCAGCAATGAGCTTTATCAGGTCTTCATTACCGTGTTTGGCGGCCCAATGAAGAGCAGTCTAAAATAAAAGAAACAACATAGCATAAATGTTTTGATAAATTAACACATTAATTAATGAAATGATAAATGGGCACAGGAAATAATTACTATGTTATATATGTATGATTAAAAGAGCAACCTGGCCATAATGAAGGGAAAACAAATCATATAATAACAAGATTTAAATATTTTTATAAAACTAGGGATTTTTTAAAGTGCCTATAAGAAATTTTTAGGAGTGGAAAGAAAGATTTAGAGTAGGATGAAGTCCAAGTGGTCGCCATGAAGAAATATTTATATCAGAGCTTTATCATTTTTTATTTATTTATTCATTGAGTAATAAAACATTCTGCCTATTTGACAATAGTTATAGTGAGGTAAGACCACATTCACACTATACATGTATAAAAATATAAAATAAACAGAAGCAAAATAACAATTAAATAATAATCAAAAAGTATATACACTATTTAAAATCAGGCAAGGGAACTCCGAGTCATGCTAGTCTCTCCATCTTTGGAGGGAAAAGCAGGACTTCAGGAGATCCCTGCACTATTCTTTTAACAGTATCACTGGGACGAAATCTAGTGGAGATTGAGCGAGTGCGCACATAAGCTCATGTTGTGAGTGGAGAATCTGGCCATAGCCAGAACTCCAATATCATTTAAAATGATTCTAAATAATATTTACTTTTTATTAGCTGGATAAGTCGGATTTTCGATATTACTTTTTGAGAACAGGACGAAAGAGGGTATAGAGATTAAATGGGAATTCACCTAGCATCTGCCTCAATCATAGTTATTATTTGAATATAATCAACGTAAAATGATGGATGAGGAATAAAACTCGAAATGAACTGATCTTATACTAACAATGTATATTTTCCCTTTCTCTAACATAATGGGGTACAGTAGGTAATAATGTTGAACCTATGTTGGGTGAAATACGAGCTATAGGGAGTGTGTTTGTCGTTGACTGTCAGGGAGGAATGGTACCAGGGGAAGACCGAAGATATAGGGCTAACATAAAGCCGGGGAGAAGACTCTGTGACAGCGGAAACAGATATAACAGGAGAGCCGAGAAGAAGAAGTATATTTAAAGCGATGAGAAATTGAGAAGAGGGGACTAGGGGCTGTAAATCTTCTGACAGATATATCATCTGGGGTTCGGGGCTAAGGAGCAATTAACGTGGTAACTGAGCATATGTCCCCGCACTGATTAACAGGATGGATCAGATTGTCTTACCTTCAGCCTCTTTAGTTGAAGCTATAGGTATAGCCGAAGAAGGGAGGGTACTATTTTAGTTACCTGTGAGAGGAAGTGGGGATGTCGAATGACATGGGGATCCGTAAACGATGGCTTAATGACGAAGCAAACAACCATCATCAATATTACCTCCATTTTTTAACCAAAATGGAATATTCTTTTGGGCGACTTCAGATAATATTAGCTGAGCAAGATAGGGAAGCGGAATATGGAATAGAATAGGACTAAAAAGTATCACCTACCAACTAAGATTCCCAAGTTTCATAAAAATTATAAAATTTACAATACAGACACTCTTTTCTACACAATTGGTAAAAAGGAATAGTTCAGATAAGAGAATAAATAATAAAAGCTAAATAGATGCATGCTAATATATAACACTTTTAATAGAGTATTTTCAATGGTTTAACAGTATTTTATTTGTATCAATACCTATAACTATCAATATAATATAACTGTAAAGATCGTTCGCCTTAGAACTTTGTAAGAAAGTAATATTCTTTTACCAGTGGAAATATAAGGAGCATACAAACTTAGCTTCTAGGCTTTTCTCTCAACCAAATGAAAAGTAGATTACTAGCATTATAAAAGCAAGGGGTGGCGCATGAGGTTTTCCAGACCACAGAGTCGATTGACGCTTGATTAACCAGAAAATAAATGTGCGGAGAGCACAGGACAAATTTTAGAATTCGGTGACCTACCTGCTGACTTAATCAACTGTTGCTCTCTCTAAAAAAATAATGGCTAAGAGAACAAAGATATGTAAATCGTGTTGCTAAAACAGAGGGATCAATAGGGCGAAACTCTGTATTGTCATCAGGATGATAAAAAAAATGTTAATTGATTCACTGTTGTTATTGAATAGACATGACAAGCTGCTCTAAGTCAATAATAATAGTGAGAAAAGAATACATAGGCACCATGTAATAGAGAATATTAAATATATATATATTTTGTTAATTTTTAAAGAATTTCCATCTTAACAGCCATTGTATTAATTTAAAAAAAAAGTAAAAAAAAATAAAATAATGTATTAGAGATAGCTAAGAACGTTTCTGAAACCATATAACTAATTTTAATATAGCAGAAAATAAATTTTGTCTCACAGCTAAGTGTTCAGGAGATAAATCCTAAGGAAGGAAGGTTCTAGTCGGGAACGAACGAACGAAATGCAATTTAGCAAGGACACTGAACTAATTAGGTTTGATCTCGATTTAAGATTTTCAGGACAATAATATTGTACAACATCTACTACCTTAAATGTTGTGTTAATATTTTCGATCCATCTTGCTATCTAACCATTCTATCTAGGTTTATCAGTTTTCTAGGTAATAAAAACTCTTCTAGGAGATCTACAAAGCAGGAGCGGCGGCTGTAAGAAGTCATATAAAAAGACCTCGGTGCTGCGAACAGGGAGGTAGGTAAATTTGCCGATAGGGAATCTATAATGAGAGATAATGAGACAGATAAGAAGACGAAGCTGTAATTTGGTCCCCAGGCGATGTAAAATAGGGGATGGATGATTATTAAATAATTGGCTGTAATCGATGGGGTTGCTTTGCCCCGGGGACAGATGTCTAGCCTATGGCCCTAGCGTGCGACGTATTTAGGAGAAAAAATTAAGATATAGGAAAGGATGCTCTTAAAAATAGAGGATGATTAATGTGAATCAGTAATTTGGTTAATGATGATAACGGTTTATAATTGGTAATTATATTAAGATCTCATCGGGCAAGTAAGAAAAACTAAATTATTTGGTAGTTGCTATTACAAGGAATCCAGCTTTATACACACATTTTACATTCTATGTACATGAACACAAAACAAATCCATACGATCTACTATAATCCATAACAATCTATAATAAGTTAAGTGTCCTTGAACAATAAAAGGTATAGATTTCACAGCCAACGTGCGGCCTCGAAGCTCTTGTATTATTGGATTGGCTGAAGCGAATGATTCGCACAGTATATAGGTCAGTGGTGAAATGGTATTATAATATGATAAAGGAAATAAGTATGCAGTAAGCCATAGCCGGGGAACCTGTGACCTCTAGGCAGCATGTGGGCCCGTAAGCTAGCTGCGGCCTCCAAACGTTTTTGCATGATATCTATTAATTAATAATTAAGTTATGAAAATTAAGAGAATAGAGAAGGTTAGCACTGCCTAACCTTACTGTGGCCTCGAATGATAAAACGATCTCTCCATCTATGCACTATATTATGGAAAGGAGAAATTTTGTTTAAGAAAAGTTGGTTGAGTATGGAAGTACACAGAAATAAATTATCTAATTTTTTGTGCCTACGTTTAGGCCTTTAGGGCCAAGCAATAATTACTTAATATATGCTAACAAATAATTACTGAGAAAATTGTAAACAGTAACAATAATAATAATATTTATGTAAAATATTATAGTAAAATAATATGTAAGTAGTTAAACTTAAGATAAATAAATATGTGGAATAGGAAATATATAATATATAAATTTAAGAAGTTGTAAAGTAACGGTAACATAGCTGGGACTTAGAAAATAATGGTAACATAGTTAGGATATATAAAATACTATTGTTTTATAAATATTTTATATATCATATATAAGTTTGCTATTTATATTTATTAATTTTAAGTTTAACCTAAAAGTATTCAGCCTAATTTGAATGTTTATTCTGCGAATGCGAATGCGTATTACTTCCTGATTTAAATGAGGTCAGCAATAATAAAAAGTTCTGCGTTTTGCTTTTACTTATTGATTAAAATTTATGAACAGCCAAGATTCTTAAAATTTCTATTTGATCTATTATCTATTTCAAAGTGCGTAACAAGCTTTAAATAGAACAATTACAAAATGAAGATTATTAATCTATAAATATAATGATATTAAATGGATCATCTACCTGCATATAAAGAAAATTATTGGGCCGACTTTACAGATCCTGTAATAAATGTGGACCTATCGGAAGAGCAGGTAGAAAAAAGATATGTTCGTGTAAATATTTAGAGAAAGTGGCAACGGCTACTGCAAACACAAAGTCTCATATTTAAAAAAAAAATACGATTCCAAAGCTCGAAGAATATATCATGAGACAAAATATACAGACGACCTGCCTCGGCGAATAAAAAAGATTTATCACTGGTGATTAATACAGCGATAACCAAACCCTAGGGCCTAAGGATTTATGCTTAATGCTATTCATTGCATTAATTTATATTTATTTGTTGTAGCCATATTTCATTTCGCACTGGAGGAAAACAGAAAATATAAATTACTGGAACAATTTGCGTAAAATATGGTACCAACGATTTTACCTCGGGAAGAGACCGTTCAAAAAGGTACAACGAGCCGGGACTACATATATCGATAACCAGCCTCTACTCGTTTCCAACATTAAAATGAAATATATGTAACGGTACCGAACATTTGTCATAAAATGTTTAGATAGGGTTTATAAATACACCTTGTAAAATGAGAGTATAGTGCGATGAGCAAGAAATCAATGTTATATTTTAAATAATACATTTACCAACTTATATGAAACATATGATACATATAAAAATTCACATATTACTGTTGATTTTTAAATTATATTTTTTTAGTGATGATGCTTACACTTTTTTTAATTTTATTTTTTCATCAAAATAGTTTAATTTTGTATTGTATCGAAAGTCAACGGAGAAAAAAGAGTGCTTGTTCTATCCGGTTTAGAACCCCTAGGAATATGATCAGGGGGTTTGCTGTGGTGGAGGTGATTGAAA